GAGAGAGAGAGAGAGAGAGAGAGAGGGAGAGGAGAGAGAAAAACAGAGAAAGAGAGAGAGCTAGACAGGCAGACAGCACTCGGGAAGAAGTGCTCTGAGCAGCCGTGTGGCCCCACAGAGTTAGGGAATGACTGGAGAAAGGGGGCTGCTCCGTGACACCCCATAAAACAATACTTTCCTTTAGCCTAAATCAACCTGAATGGGTTTCTGTTTCTTAAAACAATAAAAAGCCTCCTACTCTAAAACCAAAACCACCAATTAGCCTTTTAGAGAAAGAAGGGACATGACCCATGGAGTTTTAAGAGGATCTTTAGGCTGTGGCATCCAGATGGGTTGGAGAAATGCAAAGTTGGAGTCAAGGAGCTCAGGAAGGGAAGTATGAGTAAGGAGACTTTTGGCGGCAAGGACCAGTGCCCTGGTAATGAGGAGCGTGGTATGTAGATTCAGACAGTAGACTGAGCAACCAGGCCACTGAGACACAGAAACTTCCAGAATCAGAGACCCAGTGCCACCACCAGCTGCCTCTGTCTCTGTCCACCATGTTCCAGCTTCTCTCTGTACACTGGCTTCACCCTCTCTCATTGGACATTGGCATTTTATGTGTGATGCTGGCAACTTCTGATTCTCACCCCTACAACATCAGCCCTCAGAGTGGGCTCAGTGGCTGGGTTGATCATGTAGGTGCCTCTTCCTGCAGGCCATAGTCATGGTCAACACAGAGGGGATGAAGTCCCCTGAAAGGGCAGTGTCAGTGGGGCTGAAGAGGAAGGGTGGAGGTGAGACCCATGATGAGGTGGCTCAGGAAGGGTTTGGCTAGTGCCGGCCCTGAGGATGAGAGCAGGGCTTCCTGGTGTGGGTGAGCTCCACTGCTACCCTTGGGTCGTTGGGAGCAAAAGTCACCTTTTCTCCCTCTTCACCTGTCCCTTTGGTAGGTATGGAACACAGGCCACCTTGTCTGGTCCTTACCTGACCTCTGTGATGGGGAAAGAAGTTGGGGAACGTGAGTTCTGGCAGCTCATCCAAGCCCCTGACACCCCGCTGCAGCAAGGTGAGTCTGGTGGCGGGCCACCTCTGGATGTGTCCCTACCCCATCCCTATTCTAGCAATGAGGCTTCATCAACTTGCCCCAGCTTTCCCCCCTAACTTTCCTGGGCCTCAGCCTAGGTTGATCATTGATGCTCAAGGTTGCACAATTTACTTAACTGAATTCATAAGAAATTTTATGTACATTATTATGACAATGCTAAGAAATCAGATAGGGAAAAAAGAAGAAAATTCAAATCACCCATAATTTGCTACCCAGAAATAACTTCTTTTGATGTATTTTCTTTCTTTCTATCATTTTTAAATATCTAAGTTTGTTGTTTCATTAAAAATGAAGCCATACTCTATAGCAATGCTGTCTGATAGAAATGTGAGCCACATGTGTAATTCTAAATTTTCTAGTTGATGAAACTAATATGAATAATATATCTTATTTAACCCAGTATATCCTAAATAGTATCATTCCAAGATGTAATCAATGTAAAATTATTAATGACATATTTTGCATGCTTTTTTTTTTGTACTAAGATTTTAAGTGCACGTATGGCTAATGGATGGCATATTGGACAGTACAGGTCTATATACTGTTTGCAATTTATTTTTTTGTTCTTAATATATTATAGACATCTTTCTATGTTGGTTTATGTAGATCTTCCCCTTTCTTTGTAATGGCCACATAAAATATGTTAGCTACTAGGGTGTTTTGAGCTGCAAGTAACAGGAAATGCAATGCAAACCAGCTTCCACAATATAACATCAGTTGGCTCGTGTGACAGGTCCAGAGGGAGTGAGGACTTCAGGGCTGGTGTAACATTGGCTCTAGCCAGCTTCCCTGGGACTCCATCCCCCTCTCTTGGTTGGCTTCCTCCTCCAGAGAGGCCTTTCTGTGTCTTCGCAGGGCTACTCTCTTTTATGATTGAGGAAACTTGTCCGAAAACCCAGCAAACTTCTCCTGGTGTCTCAAAGGTGGAATTGGGACACAGGATCATTCCTGGGCCCATTCCTGTTGCTAAGAGGTGGCCCAGGTTCTGCGACCACGTTGGTTAGAGAAAAGGGATCATCACATGACTGGCTTAGGCCAATCCCACTGCCAGCCCACCCCCTGTGGTGGGTGCTGCTCTGCAGGGCGTGGAGTGGGATGGACCTCTAGGGTGTCTCCAGTTTTAACGCTTATGCCCCAACCTTTACGAGCATCCTTGTGCATCAGCCCAGTCACCAGACAGACTCTTAAAGATCATCTGTTCCTGCTCCTACTAGCTGGGACTTCTACTGGGCATTTACAGTGTACTAGGCATTGGGCCAAGTGCTTTATGGAAGGTGGGCACTTTCTGAGGGAGCCCAATAAGAAGCATTGTCTTTCCCTGCCTGGCTTCTGAACAAATTGAGAAATAAAACAAAAGGGTAGCAGATGGAGACCCCAGATCTGGCTTCTTATTGATAAAGGCTGGATTGGAGGATAGAGCCTAGGGAGGGACCCTGCCTGATGGGCTCAGCCAGGAGGCAGACATGGGTGGTTGTGTCCTCTACCTTCTATCCTCTCAGCGCCCCCAGTTCAGCAGGAAGCCCAGTTCCATGAGAAGGAGGGCCCAGTTGTTGATATCTTTATTATCCTCATTTCAGAAATGGGCACATCAGCACTTGCAAAGGCTAAATGATTTGCCCAAAATCCCACCGCTAATGAGTGACAAAGCTGGAGCTCGAACTGGGTGTTATGCTGGAACCCAGGTTGTCTCCAGTGAGAAAAGGCTGGCCCCTCGGAAGACCACTCGTAGTCTAAGTTCTCCCTCCAGACCACACTGAGCAAGGCCCTCTTCCTGACAGCCTCTCAGATACTATGAAGACAGTCACTGTCAGGTGTTGTCAGGGTCTCTGGTTCCTTTTGCCCCTTGTTGGAGATCCATGCTGTCCTGTACCCCTTACCCTCTGTTGTTTCCCCACTGCAAAATGAGCCTGTGGGTTTCAGGGACCCTAGCTCATAGCCGAGCTCAGAGTCTCTGTACTGGCACTGGTTAGTCTCCAGTTTCCCACCACCAAGGTGGGATCTGACAGAACCTAGCCTCAGGGTGGGGGGTCCAGAAGATAAGGCTGGGAGCTGGAACACTGCCCTGTTAACACCCCCTTCCCCACTCAACCTGTTTCCGCAGGTATTGCTGACTACAGACCCAAGGACAGAGAAACCATCGAGCTGAGGCTGGTTAGCTGGTAGCCCCCTGGCTCATCCACCCCAGCAGCTTTGCACAATCCCTGTACTTCCACCCTTCCTCCAGACACCCTTGTAACAGGCACACACCTGACCTTGCTGCCACCTCATGTGCACTTGGAGCAATGTCCCCAGATCACTCCAGCCACCACCCCTGCAAGGCTCCTAAGCCACCATCCACCCAGGAGCAGGGAGCCAAGCACCTTTCCCAGGAAGTCTGTCTGCCTCCATCTGGCCCAGTCTGGCCCCACAGGCATCCTGTGAAGACCACTCAGTCTGAAGGGCATGAAGCTTCTCAGACCCCTCAGCACAAGAAGTCCACTGGCTGCTGGCATTGTGAGTACTGCCTGCTCTGGGATTGGGGTCCTGCAAAGAGACCTCTGCAGCCCAGGGGCTGGGGCCCTGAGCCCAGCTCTCCAGCCCTCTCTCAGAGCGGCAGCCCCAGCTAGCTGTGACATAGCAACAGGTGAGAGCTTCGCGGCTCTGCAGGGCTGCTCAAAGCCTACCTCCAAAATGATTAAAGTGTTGATTGTGCTCATATCCCAGCGTCCTGATGCCTCATGCTAGCGAGCAAGTTCAGGTCCATGAGCAGAGAAAGGGGAGATACCTCCAGGCGAGGAGCAGAGAAGGGCTGGTCAGCGTTTTGGGTCCTGGGGAAAACATTGCTGGCAGTGGTGACATTGATTATTGTTTAGGGAGCATGTAATTGCTAGACACTTTTTTGCATAACTCTGAGGTGGTTGATATTCTCGTTGTCTTCTCTGCTCTACAGATAAGGAAACTGGTACCCAAAGAGGAAAAGTGACCCACTCCAGTATCAAGCAGGGGACATGGCTTAGGAGAGAGACAGACCTGGCCTGGGGTGGCTTCCTGGCTCCTTCAGTGATTGTTATGATTACATGGCAGAGCCAAAATTCAGCTGGAGGCCCAGGACCCTGGAGCTTGGGCTCTCACTCTCGGCTTTACTCCAGTGCAGTCAGCGTACCACCCCAGGTCTCAGCAGCCAAGGTGCAGGGACCCTGCCTCTCAGTGGGAGGGCCCTGGACTCTGGGCTGCCCTCTGTGAACTGGGGTGTAGGCCAGGGAGGCAACCTGCGTGCCTACTCCACCGAGGTTAGGAAGGAAGTCTGCTCTCAAAGGGGCCCTGACAGACAGCATGTACAATGATCCACAAAGCTGCAGATTAAACAGATGCCTCTACCTAAAGCAGCAGTTTCAAATATTTAGGGTCTGGGAAGGCAGGGGAAGTAAGTGGTTTAGGAAATCCTTTGTATATTGAAACAAACATCAAAGTATCAGAAAGCTCACTGAAAAAGTGGCCTCCATTTTTAAAGTGAATTGTCTGTGCCTAGAACCCAGAGTGTTTGTTCACCTGTCATTCCTTAATCACAGCCAGGGGCACTTTTGGGAGGATTCAGGACCTGCCCTGTGTTGCAGAAGGGTCGAGACTCAGAGAGGCCTGTGGCTTGCCTCAGGTCACACAGCCTAGAGGTAGCAGAGCCCGGATCCTCACCCAATGACCCCATCCTTTGCCACTTGCCACTGTACCACCCTGTTGTCTCCTTACCGCTCGAGACACCAACTGAGAAAGCCACAGCCCCTCCCATACAAGGGAGACAGGCTGTGGCAGGTCTCAGGCCAGGTTAGAGGGTAGAGGGTAATGACAGGGAACGTCTCTGCACTTGGTTTTCCAGAGTCCATGAGTTTGGTGTGATCTACCCTCCAGAGGGACTGTTTTAGTTGGGGTATGTTTGGATCTGAGGAACAGGAAGCTACTGATATTGCTCAAATCAAAAGATATTTGCAGATAAGACCCAGCCCACCAACTTGGGGGCAACCAGAGGTGGCGGAGAAATGGAAGTTGGGACTTAAGACTCCATTGCTTCCATGATCCTAAGGCCTTCTCTGAGTCCGTCCCCACCCCCAATCAGCTTCCTCTGAGTATGAGCCAAACAGTGACCCTGCCATCTTTCAGTTCAAGTCCCTAGGCCGCTCTTATTTTTCTCAGCCTGTATCCCAAAGCATGGAGAGGAGTCTGAATGGCATAGCCAACCTGTGGACACTGGGTCAGGTGTCTAGTCTGACACAAGTGGTTGGGACCCTGAGAATGGGTGTGGGTGAGAAAACAGTCACATCTCATGCAGACCCCCATAGTCAGAGGACTGGGGATCAGGATTGTGTTTAGCCTGCATTTAGATCGGGGACAACTCCAGACAAGCCGCTTCCCCTCTCAGCCTATTTCCTAAGTCATAGCTATGGGATGACACCTGGGCTTACACAGCATGTTCATGCCTATTAGCTCATCATAGATCACAAATGGGGAAACTGAATCCCCAGCAGTGAAGTGATTTGTCTGGGGACATGAAGTGACAGAAGCCTCTATAGCCCAGTTGCTGGAAATGGGTTCTTCTCTCCTCCCAATGCTTCTGAGTCTCTTCCCACATCACCTGCTTCCATAGCTGCAGCCTGGGCCCCCAAAAGGCAGCACCCAGATCTGGGGCATTTGGGAGCCTGTGGGTAAGGGTAGGGTGCTCTGAGCTTTCAGATGGACCTCAAAGAGTAAGCGGGAGCCCCCTGCAGCCCTCCATGAAGCTGAGTGCCCTGTCCCCATTCTCCCACAAGGGAATAACCTGTGGAGAGTCCAGGTTAGAAAATGGGTCTCTGGAACCAGACAGACCTGGTCTAAATAAATCCCCAGCCACAACCTGGGCAAGTTGATTCCTCCCCCTCACCAAGCTCTCTGTGGCATCCAGCTCCAGGAGTAACTGTGCAGAGTGGTTAGGATGGAGAGCTCTCTGTCCTTGGCAGCCAGGGGTGTTAGGTCTTTCTGCATCCCAGCCCTTCTGGACTCCCATGTAAGGATCATCTGCTGGATCACCTTTTGGTTCTTCCCTCAGCCTCCCCACTGCCCCCCACATGCAGTGTGCAGCTCTCTCCATCCCACCAACGCACCCAGGCCTCATCTTTGTTAATCCTCATAGCCCACCCCTTACCAGACAGGGCAGGTGGGAGCAGCTTTGTGGCAGTCTTGGAGGAGGCGCAGACAGGTTTTCACTGCCCACCTGTCCCCGCCAGCTCATCCCTGAGAAAGTCAGAGTGTTTATTATTTTTTAAAATTATTATTATTGGTTTTTATTAAAGGAAACTTACTAGAAAACTGACAGAATCCCACAAAGAATATAACCCTTAGGGGACCCTGATTCCTACTATTCAGGAAATGTGGGTGGAGGAGTATGTCCCCTTGGCTGGCTCAGTTTCCTTCCTGCAACCTCTCCTGGAGAAACCCTGTCTAAATACCCCCATATTTTGGTCCTTGGCTTAGAAATCCCTTGCCATACAGTTTGGACTATTCAGCAGTGATTTGCAGTCTCCAGCGGGCGTCAGAATCACCAGAGGCAAATGTAAAAATGCAGATTCCTGAGCTCACCATGGAGCGTCTGATTCAGCAGGTCTCCAATGAGGCTGGGGCTTTTAAATCCATGTCCAAGGATTGTGATGGAAGTTGGACACTTGCCCCCATTCCGCGGTCTGACCACTAGAGGGCGCCTCGGACCTTTGAGGTCTAGGTTGCTGTCATCCAAGACAGACTAGGGGTTAGCGGTGTCCAGGGGGCGGGAGCTCCCGCAGAGAAGAAAGCCCGACGTGAGGAAAGAGGTTGGCATTAAGCACCTGGCTGAGAGCTCAGAGAGGCCAGGGATGGGCCTAGAATCTAGATCTACTTGTCCTGCCTGGGGCATCCGTAATTCAGATGGGTCCACCGAGACCCAGGAAGGAGCAAGGGCTTAGTAGCAGCTGCTCTGCCTCCCAGACCACCCAAGGCTTTTTGTCCTGCCAAGGCTGCGGGCAGAGGGTGGACTCCAGAAAGTCCAGTTATGAGTCAGCTCTGACTGCCCAGGGGATTGGACAAGGGCTTCTGGCCAGGGAATGGATGCTGGCCAGCGGTACCCTGCTTCCGCAACTGTGGTGGCGTTGGTGATTCAGCTTCCCTCTGCCTGCCTAGAGGGGCCCGCCCTGGGATGGGAGAGGGAGGAGGTGCTGGGACTAGGGAGGGGCAGTGGAGGGGCCTTAAGGGGCCCCGTGGTCCAACTCTTCTGGAAGCTGAGGTCCCACGGGATAACTGTGGCTAGAGATCGGGTGGTCCCGAGACCGGTCCAGGGATGGAGGCCCCTGGGGGCGGGATGGAGCGGGGCGGGTCCTAGAAGATGGAGTCTCCTTTGAAGCTGGGGGTTTTATCGGGCTCCCTTAGAAAGATACCCGTGTCCCCCGCCCTGTTCTGATTTCTATGGGGGACTCGCCTTGGCCCTGGGTGGGGTGGGGCTTGCTCTCCCACCAGTGGGGGTAAGAGGGACAAACAGGCTGACCATTTCAGCTAGTGGGAGGCAGCAGATAGACGGAACGCAAGGCCGGTGGAGGAGGGGCTGCGAGCGGGTGGCGTGGGGGCGGGGCGAGACGTCCCTTGCGGCTCCGGGGGCGGGGCCTGTCCAGGGGCGGGCCCGGGGACTCCGCCCAACTTTCCGGGTGGGGCGCGGGCGGCGGTGGCGGAGGCGGGGCTAAGAGCGCAAGGACTCGCCCCGCGGCCCGGCCGGGGCTGGAGCTGAGTAGGAGCTGCTGCCGGAGGCGCAGCCAGGGCTGCTGGGAGACGGAGCTGGAGGGCAAGCTCTGCCGGAGCCGAGCCGAGCCGAGCCGAGCTCACCGCCTGGCACCGGTCGGAGCTAGAACCGGCGTGTCAGCCGCAGGGCCTGGTCACTGTTGGAGGCAGCGAGCCGCAACCATTGGCGCGGGAGCCTGGATCACCCCTGCCAGGCCTGGGCACGGCCTGAACACGCAGGAGATCCCGGGATCTGGACCGAAGAGGCAAAGGAACGAGGATTCCATCTAAGCATAGCGTGGGCACGGGGCGGGGAGAAGAGTGAAGACTTCACCAGGAACTGGGCAGAGGTGCCAGAGCTTACTAGGCCAGGCTTGAGCACCAGAGAGCCTGGCATCGCAGCAGGCACGACCTGGGCTCTGCCCTTCCAGAGTCGGGAACACAGCATAGCTCCTGGACCTCGGCTGGCACAGGCCTGGCACAAGAAGCAGTTTTCTCACCTGTCTGAGAGGAGGGCTGGGATCTGAGGAACCAGGATCTCGCCTGGCCCTAAGGGGGGCTCTCTGGTGGCCTACAGCTGGCCACTGGGGAGCTGGCCTCCTGCCCCAGCCCCACTGGTACGGATGTGCCACTGTCCTCTGGAGCATCATGACAGCAGGATGACCTCTGCTGAGGCAGGGGCAGTGACTGGAGGTGCTCGGGTGGCTGGATACCCCGAGTGGCACCCTACTATTCCCCAGGCCCTTGGGCAGCCTGGCCGGGTCCGGGTGGCCATAGCAGCACTGGTGTGGCTGCTGGCAGGAGCCAGCATGTCCAGCCTCAACAAATGGATTTTCACAGTTCATGGCTTTGGGCGGCCCCTGCTGCTCTCAGCGCTGCACATGCTGGCAGCAGCACTGGCATGCCACCGGGGGGCACGGCGGCCCATGCCCAGTGGTACCCGTCGCCAGGTGCTACTGCTCAGCCTTACGTTCGGCACCTCGATGGCCTGTGGCAACGTGGGCCTGAGTGCTGTGCCCCTGGACCTGGCACAGCTGGCCACCACTACCACGCCACTGATCACGCTGGCCCTGTCAGCACTGCTGCTTGGCCGTCGCCACCACCCGCTGCAGTTTGCCGCCATGGGCCCACTCTGCCTGGGGGCTGCCTGCAGCCTGGCCGGCGAGCTCCGGACACCTCCCGCTGGCTGTGGCTTCCTGCTGGTGGCCACCTGCCTCCGTGGCCTCAAGTCCGTTCAGCAGAGTGAGTGCCTGGGTCACTGGCCAAGGAGGTGGGGATCAGGGTGGGTATGTGGCCTACATGGCCCTGTGAGGGCTATGGCATTTTACAGATGAAGAAACTGAATCCTCATGGCTTTGGAAGAAGCAGAAACTGAGGCTCGGAACGGGTCAATAGCTCAGTGAGTTCTAGGCCCCAAGCTTAAGCTCTAGAGGTCCAACTAGTATTTAATAATAGTTGCCATTGATCTGTGTCCCATGGTTTGTCTCTTTATCTTGCTGGATCTCCATATTGCCCTGATCAAGGAAGTCACTGTATTGTCTGCATTTGACAGGTAGAAGGGCTTGCACTGGGCCATGTGGCCAGTAAGCAGCAGAAGTAAGATTTGAACCCAGGCAGTAAATCTCCATGCTGTCCAAGAAGTGCCAGAAGGCTGTGGACACAGAGGGAGGCCTGATAGTGTGGACAAGGGAGAGAGAAAGAGGGCAAAGACTTGGGCTGGAATTTGGAAGGCCAGGGGTTTGGCTAAGTCTGGGATGGTTCATGTTTACTGGGAGCTGCAGTGTAACAGGTCCCGTGCTGGGTGTCGACCTTGAGTCGTCATGGCAATCGACACCTTCACCCCCATTTTATAGATGATGGAACTGAGACCCACGGAGGTACATGATTTGCCCAGGGTCACCTTACCTCTGATGAAAGGAGACAGGGGGACTCTGGGCAGAGGATGGGGTAGAGGCTCCAGGATAAGACCCTGCTAAATCACTCTGTGGCAGAGTGGAGGCCGCCTTTCTGCCTGTCCATCTAAGGGGCATCTGAGTCACAGACCCCACCCTCTCTCTGCCTGAACCTAAAAGAGATGTGGAGAGGCCAGGGCGCCCACTCGGGGCAGGGAGGCATGGTTTCCAGCCACACATTTGCTTATACTTGCTGGATGACCTTGGGCAGGTCCAGGTTTTACCTGGGCTTCAATCTCCCCATCTGTTCAGTGGAAGAGGGTTGGAGTTGATGGAGTCCCAACGGCCTCTTGTTCTCCCTTCCTTCCAGCTCAAAGATTCTGTGACCCAGGCCTGGGAGAAGGAAGGGGATACTCCAAGGGCACTGGGCTGGAATTGGGAGCAGCCTGCAGCCATGGAAGGCTGAAGTCAGAGTTTAGCCCTGCCCTGGCATCTCTAGAGCCAGGAACCAGAGGTCCTGTCCCTCTCCTCCCGGGCCCTGTGGCAGGGCCGAAGCCCAGTTCTATTTTTGCCCTCAGGTTACATGAGAACTGGTGACTGAGCGTGGGCCTGAGTTCTGGGCCATAGGAAACCTGACCGCATGGGCACACCCACCCCCTACCCCAACTTAGACAGGGTCATAAGGCTAGGAAGGCCCTAGCCTCAAGGCTCACACCACACCTGCTGAGGCCCAGTGCTCCTCACCCAGAAGGAGCCCCAGCCTGCAGGATAGGCTGCGGTCGGCCAGGCCTCAGGCACACAGGCATGGAGTGGCTGGTGCCTGGCATCAGGCCATCTTAGCCTCTGCCAGCTCTCTCCACCTCTCCTGTGTCAACTGCCTGGCCCCTGAGGTGTGTTGGTTGCTCACTCCAGACTCCACAGCACCATCTGCTTCCTGAATCAAGACTCTAAATGCCCTGTTTTATAGCTGTTTGGTTACCTGTCTGCCTCCTATCAGACAGGAACTCTGAGAGCATCTCCATGTTCCAAGCACCTGCCCTGCAGCCTAGCATAGGGCAGGTACTCCTAAAGTGGTGGATTTGTTACTGCTCTGACAGGAGAATTTGCAGGCCTATTAGGCTATATGGCTCAGGGTGCTAAGGAGGGAGCTTGGGAGGCTAGAGACCCCACCCACAGAAATGGGGTCTGGCAGAGATGGGGAGGAACAGATTGGAGCCAAGGGAGTAACGTGGGTTTTGGACAAGAGGAGGTTTCTACTCCCTGAGGTTCCAGGGAAAACACCAGGACCAGATTCAGAGACTAGAGTGTAAATAGCCGACACCAGATCCTATCTTGAGAGCAGACTCCATGGGAGCAGAGGATGAGAGTCCAGGAAGAGGAACACCCAGGCAGCCATGGGCAGGGCCAGCAGCCTTCTTCCTACCTGAGCCAGTTGCAGACCCAGGGGGCTACATGGGGAGAGGAGTGATGCCAACTTCCCATTCACGGAAAAGCTGGGAAGTGGGGTGCCAGCTTGTTGAGCTTGTTCTCAGCTATACTTACCTGCGTGTACATCAGGGAGCAGCTTCTGAGCTCTGAGCTCTCAGGCTGTTGGGAAGACACATTCAGAAACAGAATTCACAAAAGCAAGAGAGAAGCTCTAGAGCTGAGTGGACAAAGGTGTGGTGGTGGCAGTTACTTCTAAGGGGAACCAGAGAAGGCTACCTGGGGAGGAGGCATGCAGTGATGACAATAATAATATAATAATAGCAGCAAGCACTTGCTGAGCTCTCACTATGTACCCATGCTATGTCCAGCTCTTCCTATAGCCAGAGCAGGAAAGGGCATTATGGGAGCAGGAAACAGGCCATGCAGGGTGTCAGCCAGCAGGAGCAGAGTGTGGGGATCCAGACAGCTGCTGTAGTGCGCAGTTACTGCTGGGCACCAGGCCCCGTGTGTGTGTGTGTGTGTGTGTGTGTGTGTGTGTGTGTGTGTGTGTGTGTGGTGGTGGGGGGGGTGAGGAGGGGGATGCTGTCACTCTCCTCATGCTACACACAAGGAGACAAGGCTTAGAGAGGGTGACTTGCCCTTTACCACACAGCTAGTAAAGGAGTAAGGATGGAGAAGCCAGCAGCCAGCGGAACAGGGTCTAGAGAACGTTTGTCTGCATGTGGCAGAAGCTTGGATATATTCATATGCCGAAACAAAAACGCCTGTAAAGAAGGAGAGGTTGAAATGAAAGGTTGGGGGGGCAGGTGATGATGGCAGAGAGGGTGACAATCACTGAGGAGGCAGGATGACAGGCTGGCATTTTGGGAGCCTCAGGTGGAGTGAGTCGCCTCTTGCAGGGAGTTACCGCTCTTTCCCTGGGCTGCAAGGAGGGGAGGTGGAGGGCTAGGTGGGGAGGTTAAGACCTTCCTGCCTGGCAGCCTTGAAGAGGTGAAGTTTACCTGAAATCCTAGGCACCTTCTAGTGATTAGATCCTTAACATGCAGGCCACGGGCAGCTTGTAACTGCTAAATTTGGAGCAAATGAGCAGGAGACATTCCAATTATCTGATCATTTCTAGAAATGCTTGAGCTGGAGGGACTGTTGCCTAGAGAACAAAGCGAAAACATCAGAGTGAAATCGAGAGAGAAGTAACATTTCCTATTCTAAGTATAGTCTATGAGTAAGCTCCTCTGTGGCTCTTTGGAAAGTGTGTGTGTCAGAAAATGCAGAGAGGCTCGGTGAGCCCCTAGATCTATTACTCATCTCTCGCCACGAAAACTTGGACAAGGCCCCAAGCAGTCATTGCCCTCTTGCAAATACTACCATTCACCTGAGCTGTGTCTGATTTTGTTGATGGGCACCATTTCCTTTGTGAACCAGCTAGGGAGTAACGTGTGTACACGTGGGTGCACTCACACACACATGCACACACATACACACATGCTTGCATTCACACATTTCCTTGCAAAGCTAAAAGGTTTCCTCTTAGTCCTGGATCTCAACAAGCCCCAGTGTTCATAGCAAAAAATGCTGATTAGTGAGTGACAGCCAAGCGCAAACAATGACTTTTTTGTTGTTCCCTTGTCATCTCAATGGTCAAAAGTGAATGAAACATGAATGGGCCCAACATTTGACTCAATTTATTATTTCAAAACTTTTTTTTTAAATGTAAAGGCCACATAGCTAGTAAGTGGCAGAGCTGGGACTGTCTGTGGACTGTCCCTGCTAATGGGGGTGGGCGCTGCACTGCGGGTGTGATAAGGCTGAGGCCAGGAAAGGTGGGTTGGAGCCAATTGGTGTAGGGCCTTCAAAGCTAGTTCAGAACCTAGGATAGTTTTCTCCAGGGCCTGGGGAGCCCCTGAAGTGTTTGTTTGTTTTGAGTCACATTTCATGTTTATTGACCATTTGGATATCACAAGCACAGTATTGTTTCAGCCTATGGAAGGCAGTTTGAAGTGGGTGATAACAGGCCTATTTATTTTATTTTATCTTTTTACATTTATTGAGCACTTACCTTATAAGGGCTTTATGTACATTATCTATTTTGATCTTTATAAAACCCCTGTGTATTAGGTTTTATTATCACTCAACTTTGCAGGTGAGGGAACCTAGGCCTCTAGAGTACCCTGGGCCTCTAGAGTGCCAGGTCACAGCTAGTAAGGAGTGGATACAGGTCACAATCCAAGCAGTCAGATTCCAGATTCTTGACTGTGATGTTACAGAACAGGAGACGCTAACTCTGCCAGAGGGGTTGGGGCAGGCTTCCTGGAGGACGGGTCTTGGAGGTCATGCTGGGTGGGCCGAGTGGGCTTGTCTTCCCACTGTGTGCTGATGGCTGCTATCCTGCTTGCAGGTGCGCTGCTGCAAGAAGAGAGGCTGGACGCGGTGACCCTGCTGTATGCCACCTCGCTACCCAGCTTCTGCCTGCTGGCAGGTGCGGCCCTGGTGCTGGAGGCTGGTGTGGCACTGCCTCCTGCTCCCACCGACTCCCGCCTCTGGGTCTGCATCCTGCTCAGCTGCCTCCTGTCCGTGCTCTACAACCTGGCCAGCTTCTCCCTCCTGGCCCTCACCTCTGCCCTCACCGTTCACGTCCTGGGCAACCTCACTGTTGTGGGCAACCTCGTCCTGTCCCGGATCCTGTTTGGCAGTCGCCTCAGTGCCCTCAGCTACGTGGGCATTGCACTCACCCTTTTAGGAATGTTCCTTTACCACAACTGTGAGTTTGTGGCCGCCTGGGCTGCCCATCGCGGCTTCTGGAAGAGGGGCCAGCCTGGCAAGGGTCTTTGAGACCTGGGAGAGTGCACGGGCCATCCGGAACAGCCCCAGCCTGAACCCAGTCTTGGCCAGTGGCTGTGGGAAAAGTGGAGAGCAGGCAGCTGCTGGAACCGTGGGAGGGAGAGGTGCCTTCCGGAAGGGCCACCTTGGAGGCTGGAATGGGGCCTCCCAGAGAGACTCACCTGTCCCTGCCTACCTCTCCTCCTCACAGACCCCACTCACCACTGGATGGTGGGTCCAAGCCTGGCACAGTGGCTGTGCTTGTCAGATTAATTATTATTAATATCAACTACTACCCCGAAAATTGCTGGCCAAACTTTGAGAACCTCACCATGTTCTGATGACAACGATGATGATTCTTGGTAGTTGCACAATCCTTCCTCCAGGTAGTGGGGGAGGCAGCTAGGGGGCCCAGGGAGGGGCTTCTTTGCTGCTGGGCTCCCCTGAGGAGGTGGGGTCATCTGTGCCAACTCCCGGTAGCTGCTGTGGCCTCACCCACGGGCACCCCAATTTGGGGTCTTCTGTCCTCAAATAAACTATTTTTGTTTGTATACCTGTGTCATTCCTTAGCGTTACAGCCAAGGAAATACAGGGAGAGGGATGGGCCCACTGTCCACTAGCCACCCACAGAGAAACGAGGACATCCTCCCTTACCCACTGTGTCCTGTCTAGGTACCCAACCTAGTTCCGTTCTCTAACATTCCTCCACTGGATGGCGGCAGTGGCTTCCTCCCTGCTCTGCTCTGGGCCCTCTTCTCATCTTCCATGTGGCCTCAGACAGATCTTTCTAAAACACACACCTTCTGTGGCTCCATACTGCTCTTGGGACAAAGTCAGAATTTCCTGCCCCAGACCACAAGGCCCGCAGGATCTGACACCTGAGTCCTCCCCAGGCTCCCGTCTCACTTCTCCTCTCCTTGGGCTTCACCTTCCAGCCTCACCAACTTCCTTCAGGTCCCCCATGATGCCAGGCCCACTCACTGAAGCCTTTGCACACGCAGTTCCCTCTGTCTGGTATTCTCTCTCCCTTTCAGGGTTAAACCTTTTCCTAGAGGAGAAAACCCAAACATGCAACTCTCCTTTAAAAGAAAACCTAAAAACAGAAAACTGATGAAACAAGGATCTCGATAAGGGGCCATGCCCAGGGCTGTGAGTGCAGGGTGGCTTCATGGAAGAGGGAGCACTCGGCAGGGAGGGCCTGGCAGGCTGACCCAGCGGGGCTACCGGGGAGCAGGGCTGCCATGCTAAGAATCTGGAACAGCGGTCCTAATCCCTAGAGCCAGCCCACAGCCTCCCTGACCAGCTGGCTGGACTCAGCTTCATCACTTCACAGAGTCACTCTTCCTTGACTCTGTGCATTTAACTCCCCCCACTCAGCTGCCTCTGCTGGAGGCTGCCTGTTAAAGACCATAAGAACCCTGACTGGATTAGGGAGAACTGGGACCTAATCCTGCTCTGCCCACCTCACTGTGTACCTTAGGTAGGTAGCCTCCCTTCTCTCAGCCTCACTTTCAATATCTGCAAAATGGGGATGATGATCCCCATGGGTAGGGTTCCAATGAGGAGCCTGGTGGGCAGGACCAGGGGAGAAGAGAGGTGTTAGTGTCAGCTGTCTTGGTCCTTATCTTGGGCTATCATCCTACCATCCACTCTCTCTGAGGCTCCAGGCCCACCCGGAAAGTGGAAACGGTCTTGCCTTTCTGTGCGAGGATAGGAGCTAGACCAGATTAGGGGTGGGGTCTAGGGGTCTGGGACTCAGGGAGGAATCATTCATTCCTTCACACAGCCCAAATTCATGGGGGACCACTGTGCTAGCCAGTGCTAGACAGGGCTGCATAAAGGGTAAGCCCAAGGCTGGAAGTGGAGGCAGTGAGGGCCTGGAAGTTACCTGGCCCAGAGAGGACCGGTGCAGGGTTTCCTGGCCCTGACCTCCACCCAGGAGGGGAAGTGGGCCCAGGCTGAGTCACTTACCATCCATTCTCCCTGTGACTCAGAGGTGCAGCTGGCCCAGCCCTGTCCCTGTATAGCCTGGATACCTCCAGGCTCCACTCTGAGGCTTAGCTAGAACGGACAGAGGTTAGATGAATTTGGGTGGACAGAGCCTTCTTAGCACTCAGGACACTACCTCATTCAAGGGAGCCCATTGCCATAGTAGGAGCCTCCCTGCGGCACCCTCACATCAGCTCCTGGCCTCCATGGAATGCTTGACTTAAGAGTGAGCCTACTATCAGATAAAAGCCAGCCCATGGTGGTTGTGGGCGCAGGGCAGGGGGGAATTGGAGGTGTGCTTGATCCCCAGATCAAGATGGCTTGTCACCAGACTCAGGATCATCCAGCACTGAGGTGATTTTCCCAAGGTCACAGTTGAAGTCCTCCCAATCACTTTTCCCAGCAGTGGGTACAGAGAGCACTCAACTGGGAGTAAGAAAGCCTGGGTTTGTGCCCTGGCGCCGCTCCTCACAGTGTGACCTGTCTGGTTTCTCAGCTTCACAGTGTTGTTGGGAGTAAGGATCACAGGGATAACTAGTGGGAAGGGCTTAGTGGCTGACTCCAGCATTGACAGGCCACTGTCCCTCCAGGCTCTGCCTCTTGCTGGTTCTGGTGCCTCAGGCCAGTCACATCACCTCTCAGCCTCAATTTCTGTACCCAGTTCCTGCTAGGAAGACTTCTCCTCAGGAAAACATATTTCACCCTCCTTGAGAAGCTCTTTCCTAACCTCATCCCCTGCCCTGACCCACACCAAGTTGAGTTATAGGTTACCCCAGCTCCCTGCACTTCTCCAGGCAGGCTCCTGTACACATCCCATTCTCAGAACTGGTTTATTGTCTCTCCTCCACTGGACTGGGCTCTGGGAGGGCTGAGTCAACTGTTCTGCTCACTGCTGTCTTCCCAGCATTGGCACAGTGCCTGGTACAGATGAAGTAGGTGGAAGAGAAATACTTGTCAAGAGCAGAGGCCAGACCTGGGTTCAAATCCCAGCTCTGGCATGTCTAAGCTGTCTGACCCTGGGCAAGGGCCTTCCGCTCCTGGGCCTCTGTGTGTGAAGTGGGGGCAGCAGTAGCAGCTAACCCTGTCTAGCTCTGGGAGACTACAAGTGCTTAGCAACAGTGCCTGGAACCTAATAGGGCTTCAAGAAATGTTAGCAGACTGACTCACTACAGACATCTCTCAGTTCCTCCCCCAAGGCTTCTCATGCTACCTCCTCCCCCAGCCTTCCACTGTATACTGAGAGCCCCCAGGGCATGCACTTGCCTAGGCAGAGCAGGATGGATGTCCCAGCTCTCACCCCCTTGCTCTGCCTCGAGGAAGCTGGAGAGGCTGGATCTGTGCTGGGCATCCTGCCATTGTGGAGTCAGAACAAAGCTGCGGCCTTGTCTCAGCCCCAGCGGCCAGGAGCCGCTCCCACCCTCCCCAGGGGGCCCTTGGATTGTCATTGCAGGGGCCAGGGCAAACAAGGACTCTTCTTGCTGCCTACCCTGCTCCCCAATCAACTTAGGGATGCCAGAAACTCCACCACTACACTGTTCTTGCTTGATTAAAAATACTTTCTGGAAATAACACAAAACACAATGGAGAGCCGTGGAAGGTTTTGAGCAGGCAAGAGCCATGATGATCAGTAAATATTTCTTGATAATGGACCTTCAGTTTGTTCTGGGTCCTATGTGGATGTGATATTGAAGGGACTTGAGACAGGTAGCAGGGAGACCAGGAAAGAGCTATTGTTGTGGCCCAGGAGAGCAGGTGACAGTAGGGACAGTGTCTTGGGTCCAGCACAGAGTAGCATCAGTTGTATTGATTTGGGGTAACAAATTATCCCCAAACATTATAGCTCAAAGCAACAAATATGAATTATTTCTGTTTCTGAGGATCAGGAATTTGGGAGTGGCTTAGTGGAATAGTTGTTGCTTAGGGTCTGTCATGAGGTTGTAGTAAAACTGTCAGCCAGGAGCTGGCTGAGTGGCACATTGGTTAAAAGTTGGCTTGGGAGTGCCAGCTCTGAGCAGTAGGGCCCCGGTTCAGATACCACATGAGGGTCAGTGATGCTGCGCCCTCTACAGCTAAGATGGTGAACAACAGCTAGACCTGGAGCTAGGCTGCCGTGAGTCGCCGGGGATGGCATAGGCTGCAGTGGGGCTGTAGTGGGGCTGCAGTGGGCTGCCGTGAGCCGCCGTAAGTGGCTGTCCAGTGGCCGGCGAGCAGCTGCCTCACCCGGGAAGAGCGCAATGATAATACCAACATGAGCCAGTGAAGCGACGTCCTCCACAACTAGACTGAAGAACAAAAGGAGAGCAATTTGTCTGTTCCCCTTCCCCAATTCCCCAATGCTGTTCCTCTCCCCCAATTCCCCAATAAAATATTTTAAAAAAAAATGTCAGCCAGGGCTTCAGTCATACGAAGGCTTGACTGAGGCTGGCAGGTCCACTTACAAGATAGGTTATTCACGTGCCTATTGGGAGGAGGCCTCAGTTCCCTGCCACATGGGCTTCTCCACAGGGCTCCTTGAATGTCCTCATGATATGGCAGTTGGCTTCCACTAGAGTGAGTGATTCAAGCGAGCAAGAAGCCATAATTTCTTTTTTGACCCAATTGCAAAAGTCATACTCATTTCTTTAATGTCTTCATTTATTACTTAATTGTAATACCATAGTTTCTCTAAGGTCTTATTGGTTATACAAGTCAACCCTATTCAACTTGGGCCCTCCCACCTTGACTACACAAGGGCATGAATACCAGGAGGAAGGGATCATTGAGGTCATTTCTGAGGATCATTGAGGTCATCTACATCAGTCAATGTTTGTTGAGTGAGTGACGGGAGGACACAGCCTGGGGCCATAGGGAATTAGTCTGGGAGCTTCCTGTTCCAGCTGCAGCCACACCTCTGCATCCTTCCTGACACAGTGCTATACAATCGTGGCCCACAGAGGGTGCTTGGCAAATGCTTTGCTCAGTGAGGGCTGGAGGCTTCTTTTTCTGCTCCCCACTGCAGACAGGAGTAGACCTGAGCTCCCTGGTCTGATATGACCACCAAGTCCACTCTCTACAACCCCTCCACATAACGTGTCTATGAGGTTACTCCTGCTCCCTGTGCCTGACGGGACTTTCCAGTATCTAGGTCTCCTTCTCTACCCTCTTTCCTTCTCTAAGCACTGCCAGCATCCTAGCAGGGTAGATACTGGTCCTCCCAGTACCTTCTGCCTGGGCTGGGCATTTTTCTTTGGATGTTTAAACTTTCATTGGTGGAGGAACCCTTGTGTAAGCGTATTGTGCTGGAGCTCAATATCAAATAAGCCAAAGCAGAACTGCCCTAGCTAGACCAGAAACCCCCTCGTCCCTGAGGCACCTACGCCAACTGTTTGAAAACCACAGATCTAGTTCAGTCCTTATCATACGCGTAAGGAAACTGAAGCTCAAAGAGGAAGAAGAACCAAGAGGACTTAGTCCGTTCAGGCTACTATAACAAAATACCACAGACTGGGTGGTTTATAAACAGAAATTTCTCACAGTTCTGGAGGCTGAAAGTCTGAGGTCAGGGTGCCAGTATGGTTGAGTG